ACGCCGGGCGCTGCCCAGACCCCAGCCGAGATCAGGGCCCCGTCACGCCGGGCTGCTGCATGGACACCAAGGAAGACCGACGCTGCCCCAAATAGGTCACAGTCCTAATAGACAAAGAGGATCATTCTCCCCATATTACAGATGGGGAAACTGAGGCCCAAAGCGGGGCAATGACTTGCCCAAGAAGCGTGTGACAGCGCTGGGAATTTAACCCAGATCTCCTAAGACCCAGGGCAGCCTTAACCACAGTCCTCTGGGAGCAGGACTCCTGGGTTCTATATCAGCTCTGGGAGGGGAGGGGCGTCTGGTGGTTAGAGCAGGGGGGCTGGGAGCCCAGACTCCTGGGTTCTGTCCCTGGCTCCACCATTGACTCCCTGGCACGACCCTTCCAGAAAAGAGCCCTTGAGTCTTTAACCCCCGTCTCCTGTGGCCGGTCTCTCTTGAATTAAAGCCGGTTCCCCAGGGTGCCCCGCGCCCGGCCCCCGGTGGCAGCTGTCAGCCGGCATCGTGGAACCAATTTGTCATCTCTCCCGGACTCCCTAATCCCCACTAATTCAGTTACCCAGCTGCGCAGGGGGCAGCGGCCCTAAGCCGATTGGGACATTTGCTAAATTAGATCAGTAAAAATAACAAATTGTGTGTGTGTGGCAGGCGGGCGGGCGCTCGGCCTGGCTCCGGGGGGCGCAGGGCCCTGCAGTGGGGAGATGGAAGAGGGGGGCCAAGGTGGGAAAGGTGACGAGATCCCGTCAGGAAGCGGCTGGGCCAGCCCGACCAGCGTCTCCAGGAACGGTGCAGGATTGGGGGGCCTCACACAGTGCGATGTGGGTCCCCCAAATGTACAGTGGTAGACTGGGAGTCAGAGCTCTGCTGGACCCCTGCTGTCCTCCCACAGCGGGGCAGAGAACCCAGGAGTCCTGGCTCCCAGCTCCCCCGCTCTAACCACTAGACCCAGCTCCCTTCTCCGAGCCAGGAATAGGACCAAGGTGTCCTGGCTCCCAGTCCCCTCCCACCCAAAGCTGGGGAGACTTAGGCCAGTAACTTCCCCCTCTCTGTGCCTCAGTTTCCCCTTCTGCTCTCCCCACGCTCAGGCCCCCCACCATGGCTCCCTGCCCTGCCAAGCCCCCAGATGGAGGAAGGGAAGGACAATTGGCCCCGTTTCACAGAGGCCTGGAGAGAAGGTGACTCCGGGCCGGAGCCTTAACTGCTAGGCCGTGCTGCCTGGCACGGCCCCTCCAGCCCTGCCTCACGCCCCAGCCCTGGAGAGCAGCCGCCCGTCTCGCCCCTGCTCCCACCCCCTTGCCACCCTGCTGGGCCTGCCTCCATCCCCCACGGCTCTACCGCCCCTGGGCCCGGGCCGTGAGCAGCAGGGACAGGACGGACCTCCCAGCCCCTCGCCCCCAAAATCTGGCTCCTGTCCCACCCCAATCAGCCACGTTACAGGCCTGAACCCTGCCAGACGGCCTGGCCGGCCAGCCAGTGGGAAGTGGGAGCCAAGACACCTGGGTTCTGTCTCTGGCTCTGGGAAAGGAGTGGGGGCTCAAGGTTAGAGCAGGAGGGCTGGAGCCAGGACTCCTGGGTTCTCTCCCCAGCTCTGGGAGGGGAGTGGGGTCTAGTGGTTAGAACGTGGGGGGGGGGGAGCGGCTGGAGGCCAGGACACCTGGGTTCTCTCCCAGCTCTGGGAAGGGCGTGGGGTCTAGCAGCTACCACAGAGGAGCCAGGACTCTGGGCTCTGTGGGAGGATGCAGATGACAATCGAAGGACACCTCTTTGCCCCCAGCCCTCTGCCCGATCCAGCTTGGGCCCTGCCCGGGATGGGGGAACCCCCCGACACAGAACGCCGCTGGGGGGGGGCGCATGTCTGGGACCCAGGGCTCAGAGTTATGGCCTGACAAGGGAGAGGCCGGAAGAGCAACGGGAAGGAGGGAAAAGCCCACGACAGAGGCCGGAGATTTTCTCAGGAACTTCAGCCCCCCAAATTCCAGTGGGATTCAGGCACCTTTGGGTCCCCTGGAAACCCCAGCCTGAGCTCGGGGCCCGACCCTGCTCCCATGAGAGTTTGGGCATTGGCTTGGGATCAGCTCCCATTTCCTCTATCCACACGCCCGCAGCCACCAGGCCTGCCTCAGTTTCCCGCAGTGCATTGAAGGCAATTGGGGAGAGGACGGGGCCAAGCTCCTGGAGGGGCAATGGGGAGGGCGACGCTGAGGAGCTGAGGGTGACATTGTGGCCTCGTTGAGATGGGGGGGTGCCCTGAGCAGAGGCTGGTGATTTTGTGACACGAGTGACTCCAGGTTCACTCGCAGCTAGGCCCTGGGGGCCGGGCCAAGCCGTTCCTGTGGCTAACGGTGGGGTGACCTCATGAACCTGCCTGTTGCAGAGACCTCTGGTGCCTGCCCCCCCAAATCAGCAGGAACGGGGGACTCCAGACAGAGCTGAGATGGGCGTTGGCACACAGCGGAGAGCGCTCGCCGTGGGCAGGTATCCCCCGTCCCCACCAGCCCCCCTCTTCCCTCAGTGGGTTCACACCAGGGCCCCACCACCCCTTGGAGCAGCCAGGAGACATTCCCCCAGCTAATTCGACTGACGACCCTCAGCCCTGACCGGTAGCCACCACTGCTAGCCCAGCCCTGGGCTCCCCACTTCCCAGCCCTGCCGGTGCCCCTCACTCCCGACCCACAGTCCCTGCTAGCCCAGCCCTGCCCCCCCAGCTCTACCGGTGCCCCTCACTCCCGACCCGCTGCCCCTGCTAGCCCAGCCCAGCTCTGTCCCCCCCCCCCACGCGCCCCTCACTCCCGACCCGCAGCCCCTGCCAGCCCAGCCCTACGCCATTAGCTTCCATTAGAGTCCTCACCTGAGTGAAGTGACACAGGTGTGTGAGCATTTTGCAGGATCAGGGCTTAAATTAGCAACTGCAAGAACCAAAAAAGCCAGCCCAGATCTCAGAATCCTTTCCACATTTATTATTTATTTTTTTTATTTTTTTCAAATCTTTTTAAACCACCAAAAATTGGGGGCTGGTACAGGAAACTGCCTCTCGCTAAAACAAGAATAAATATCAAGTCATCAAAAATAGTTTGCATTGAAATTCTGTTTCTCCTACAGACACTGGAGTTTGACACCTAACAAAACTAGTCTAAAACCCCCCTCTACATCAACTTACAAAATAGACTTTTTGTTTTTAAGCCAGGACTTTAGTGCACACAAAAAACAATCAAATTCTTTACAGATATTTATTGTCTCTGATTGTCGGTTTTTTTATTTATTTTTTTTTGCCCCCGTTTCTTTAAAAAAAAAACGACTGGAGCAAACCTATGGCTAGGAAAAAGCAAAAAATAAAACATTTCCACAGATAGAGGCGTGAAAATAAAACCAGCTCGTCGTAGGCTGTGGAGACGTGACCTCCTAATGCCGAGGGATGTGGCCACGTTAGCAGCTACGTAGTTGGGGGCTTCTTTGCAAAGGGAAGAGCGGCAGAACTGAAACCCACTGAGGTATCCAGCCGAGAAATAAATCAAAACGGCCTTTGTCTGTGAAGGTGGAAACGGGACAAAGAACTACAGAATCGCCCTAAACGAACCTCACAACGTGTCGGGGTTTTATTTACACGCAACAATTCTAAATGCGGCCGGTCAATTCCACAGCGCCCCAGATCTTGTCTCGTCAGATTCCCCGCTGCAAAGTGCTACCAGAGCCGGAGAGTTTTGCACGGGTGGATGTGATTGCACGAAGCCACAGGAGACGTTCGGGCCCCACAATGAGCTGTATGGTGGCTGGCAAGGAGACGTGCGTGGCGAGGTGGCTTCTGATGTTAGAACCGTCCCCAGAGCAAACGGCCGCCCCAGTTCACATCTCCAGGAGCCGGCCCAGCCGGATCTCAGTGGGTCTGCCTCAGGCAGAGACGGATCTGAACCCAAATCCGCTACATCTTTGGGGGAGTTTCTATGCAGCCAGTTTTGGAGAAGGGGAGCAATCGAAGTGGTCTGATTAGAACAGAAAGAGCTGGTTCTCCACTGTCTTGCACCCACTAGTGCGGAACAGGTGTGGACGGATCCGGTTTCACGCTTCTTCTGCACTAGTGTAAATGCGTGTGCAAGGCAACAGGGAAATCGGGCTGCAAAGCGTCCCCAATTCTCCCCCCTCCCCCAACGGAGGGGGGAGGGGAAGCTCCGTGTGAATGCAACGGAGTCAGGTTCGCGCTGCTGGGCTCCGACGTGGCTGGAAATCAGGATGATTCGGGGAAAGCGTCTGGGCATTCGACAGCGGGGATCTGGCCCGAGTTCCCCCACCTCCTGGCCAGTCCCCATCTCAGCTCTCCCCCACCCCACACGAGCCGGGCAGACCCGATCCTGTCCCCCTCCCCAGGGACTTCTGCCACCGGGGTGCGAGAGCAGCAGGATCTGAACCCAGGTCGACGGCACCCCTTTCTGACCCCCGGGGCACGTGCGAAGGGCTCCCAGGATCGGAGCCTCCGTGGGGTGGGAAGTTGTGCTTTGCGCATAGACGTTGCCCCAGACCCTCCAAGATATTTCGGTGCCTAACTCCCATGGGAGAGAGATTTTCCAGCCCTGCAAAGAGCCCGAAGGTCTGATCGCTTGCGACGGGCGGTGCCGAGGCCGGAGCCTTCTAAATCAATGCGTTCCAGTGGATTTGGGGGGGTCGAACATTTGTCGTCACTTCCAAGTTAACCCCCCCCCAAAAAAGGGGTTTGCACCCAAAATATCCAGGGGGGAGGGGAAATGAAGGCTAGAATAAAAAGCCACCCTGCAAACAGACAGGCAGGCCTTGCTCCTGGCTTGCGACGCTGGCCTCCCGGCATAGATCTCTCCCCGCCAAGTCGCTGAGTGCGACCCGGTCCCCTGCCCTGCTTGCTAAAGACAGGGGTGTGGCCTGGCCCCCTCTGTGGCGGAGCTCAGCGGCTGGCGTCCCAGACGGGCAGCCCCTCTCTCTGGCAGGACGTGGCCGGCGAGGTCTCCAGCTAGAGGAGACGGGACCTCAGTTTCGGACGACTGGACTGTGGGCAGTTGAACCTGGAGCCGATTCAAACCCGATGTTCCCTAAGCCGTCCTCGCTGGGCTGGGACCTCGGCACACGCCCTTCGCCCTGGCCCTCAGCTTTGCCCAGCACAGAGCTGTCCATCCACAGATCCCCTGCCCCCCCGCAAAGGGAGGGCGCGACAGAAGGGGAAACTGAGGCACGGGGTGGAACATCTGACACCCAATCATTGGCAGGGCTGGAAATAAAGCTGAGGCGAACTGACTCCCGGGGCCCACTTCTCTAAACCTCGCTCCCCTCCCAGCACCGGAAATAGAACCCAGGAGTCCTGGCAGCACATGCCTTGACCTAACTGCTCCACCCCAGGCCCCATTTCATTCTTCGCTCAGACCCCCCCATCGAAGGATCAGGCCAGGGCTAGAGAGAATCCGTGAAAGACAGAACCTAGAGCCCCCACACACACATGTGCAAGGGTCAGAGGGGGCTACTTCCCACCCAAAACCAGCCATGGCACTTCCCAGCTCCACCCCTGCAGATCCGGGTGCCACTTGGTGAGCGTGGCACAGACGGGGGAGGCTGCCACGCCAGGCAGTCCCCGCCCCGGGGGGGATCCCGGCTGAGACTCCTTGACAGATTTCGTGTCCGGGGCTCGGGCGGGAAGAAAACCCCGCGGCGCTGCCCGGCGCGAGGGGCCCCTGTGACCATGGGGGTGAGGGTCTCAGCCACCGAACGACCAATCAGGGCACGTTTGCGGCTGCTCACCAAGGAAGGGCAAGTCCCCACCGTGATGCCGGGAAACGGGGGATCCCCCTCGCTCAGATCCCCGACGCCGGTTCCAATCTCAGTCCAGCGACAGACACGGGTCGGAGCCAAGCTGGTTCAAGGAGGGTGGTACCGGGGAGGGGAGGGACAGGCCTTTGGGGGGGGGAGGGGGAAGAAACAACGGACAGGGGGTGTCTCCCTGGCTGCCTCCCGCCACTTCACAAGACCTGGAACTTCCAGGAGCTCTGATCTTTGTAATCCAAGCAGTCCGTGGCGTTGAAGTTGAGTTTCCAAGAGGCCGTCTGATCCTTGTAGTCTAAGCAATCCACCGAGCCGAAGCTCAGGCCGGCCGTGCCAAAGCCCTGGCTGGACAGGGAGGCCGGGGACTGGCTGAGGTGGCCGCCCATGGCCGGGGCGGCGATGGGGCTCAGGGCGGCACCAGGGGCGGAGAGCTGCGGGTGCATGGGCGAGAGGTAGGAGCCGCAGTCCAGGCCGGTGAAGTAGGAGGAGGAGCTGGCGTAGCTCTGGGGGTAGCCGGCGGCCTGGGTGTAGGTCATCGGGTAGGCGGCAGAGCGCTGCATGCAGGGGGTGGCCGAGGAGGCCAGGGGGTCGGGGATGGGGGAGATGGAGGCCGGGCTCCAGATGGAGACGGTGGCGCTGGCCGTGGAGCTGGGGGTGCCCGAGGTGCCGGCGGGTGGGGGGCTGTATTGCCCGTTGGTGCTGGTTTCCGAGCTGGTCTCCCGGGCCGGCGAGCTCTTCTTCTTGGCCGGGCGCGCCTTGGCCTGGCCGCTGCTCTGTTGCTGCTGCTGGCGGCATTTGGCCCGTCGGTTCTTGAACCAAACCTGCCGGGAGAGGAGGGGAGTGAGTCACGGAGCTCGGGGGGGTCCCTTTGTCCCGGCCATGGCCCGGCTGTAACAGCCGCCCCTGTCCATCTCCGTCCCCTCCACAATTCCCCTCACCACCACCCTCCTCCCGCACTGAGAGCTAGGGCGGAACAGAGCCAGCCGTGACTGGCATTATCCCCAGAGCAGATAGGGAAACTGAGGCTGCAGGGGGGAAGCCTCTAGAAAAAAACCCATAATATCGGGACCCTGACAGCGTTAAGCACTGAGGATTTCCTGGCAGGAGCAGGGTAGAACTCAGCTGTTCCTCATCCAAAAGTCACCCACACCCACACACACCCCTCCCTCCCCGCAATCTTCCCCGAACCTTAGCAGTATAGGGCCTAGGATACAGAGTGGCGCATTGCTCAGTCCATCCAGCAGATGGCAGTGGTGCGCACACACACAAACACACACACGCTGGCTCATTGCCTTACACTCAGCCTCAAATTTGTCCTCCCCCCGACCTGGTGATGTTTCTCTCCGTTCCCAGGACTCATCCCTTCCCAGGGTGACTCACAGCCATTCCGGGTCTCTCCCGTCTGCTGCCTGCCCGGTCTAGTCCCGGACAGCTCAGCTGCCGGATGCCGGGGAGACAATTCCCCCCCCACGGGCATCGGCAGGAGGTGGCTATTTTCTGTATCCCTCCGAAAACGGCTGCGAAGTTGCAACCCCGGGATCCAGAGTGTTTATTTACAGCATTAGCAGGCGCGGGGCAGATGTCAAAGATGAACGTCTCCCGCTCCCTGGGGAGCTGCCCGGAGTCGAAGAGAAGGGGAAGCGACTTCGAAATCCTGCCAGTGCTGTACACAAGGACTCTGCATTCTGGGCTTAGCCCTTCGCTGTCATGTCAGGGGGGAACTCACCCCATCACGTCTCCTGAGAAACCCGGACCCCTTCCTGTAGGACGCAGAGGGAGGGCGGCCAATTATCGGGAGAGCTCACGTGGCAAATTTAAAAAGAGTCCAAATTTGACTGATTTTAATTTTAAGAAAATGGCAGGATTTCTAAGCCAAATCTCGGGCTCTGTTAACACTCAGGGTTGGCGAGGCGGTGGGGCGTTCTGGGTAGCTGGTGAGTCGGCTCCGAGCTCCGGGCAGCCGGGCTCTGTCTACATGGGAAAGCGAAACTGATTTAGCTTAAACCGGTTTATTTAACCCAACGCCAGAGGCCGGGACGAACGCTCCAGTTTCGGTTTAAAAGCAGCTTGTTGGGGGATAAATGTTGGGCTGAAGCAAAACTGAAATCAAGTCTCCCTGAGGGGTGATCTCCACGCACGGATTTTGTCCTGGTACAACCTGGTCAGCTGGGGGGGGGGATATTTATCGAGACAACCGTACCCCGACCCAGTTTTACTGGGATGAAAGCGTCTTAAACGGGGGGTCACCTACGTTGTAGCTTCTGTCAGTCAACGGTATTGCACCCCCCATGGGCTGTTGGCAGGGACTGGAGTGGGGGGTTCAGTAGGGGGCACTCTCCCCTCCCAGGCAGGGCTGGCCCCGATGCCCCAGGGCAGCGCTAGGGGGCGCTGTGCAGCAGGGATTGGGGAGGGGGTTCAGTAGGGGGCGCTCTCCCCTCCCAGGCAGGGCTGGCCCCGATGCCCCAGGGCAGCGCTAGGGGGCGCTGTGCAGCAGGGATTGGGGTGGGGGTTCAGTAGGGGGCACTCTCCCCTCCCAGGCAGGGCTGGCCCCAATGCCCCAGGGCAGCGCAAAGGAGCACCGCGCAGCCG